CCCCATAGCAAAATACCACACGACATAATGCTATGGAAAAAATTAAAATATTCTAGCTGTTTCGACACTGCTAAGAGTTCTAATCTTTTTGCATCATATGCTGCAGGAGTAAGTCTTGTAGCTAATTTTGATATATGGGGGAGCCATTGAAGCTTTGCGTCTAGTGTGATTCCAAGAAAAATGGTGGTATCAACAAGACTCAGCTGCCGTCCACTATCATCTGGAAACGGTGAAGCCGGCCTTGCTCTTTCTAACCGAGACACAGGTGTCCTCTCCGACTGATACTTCGTATATCTCCTACCCGGGGTACAAATTAGAACACTCTTTTGTCCCCGGGCTGGAGTTTGCGTGTATGTCAGAGAGGACATTTCTGTTTTCAACGCCTTTGCTTTGGCATATGGTCATGGACACAACCGCTTACCTCGCCGACGTGGATCCCAGCTACCTTACCTGTTGGAGTTTCTGCTAACCTCTCATCCGAACGGATATCAGGTCTCCGTAGATGCCCCTCTTGGCTCCTCGGACCATTGTCTGATCCGGAATACGGTGCCACTCACGCTCTCATCGCGGTTGCGTACTGCAAGTTGCCGCCATGTTTGGCATTATAGGTCAGCAGAATGGGACGGGATGAGAACTTTTTTTGCATCCTACCCTTGAGGACTGGTTTGCTTCTCGCCGGATGATCTCTGGTGCTACAGAGAATGGAAATTTTTATTCCATCATCTGTGTTACCTATCGGAGGCAGAACCCGGCCTTGGTTTGGTTGCTCCTGCAAAATTGCACTACGTCATAAGCTGGAGTGCCACCAGGCCTGGGGTCGTGCATCGACGTCTCAGGATGCAAATACCAGCGCCCTTAAAAAGAAGTATAATTCTGCCTCCAGGTCCTTCAAAAGTGTCACTGTCAAGTCAAAGTCAGAGCACATCGGCAGGACCATACCATACCATGGAGAGTGCTCTGAGGAATTGTTCGGATTAATCCCAGCCCCCAAATTTCGTGAACGCACTACGCGGCAAACGTCCCGATACCATCCACACCATCTGGATGCTTGGCGGTCCACCACTGTACGTTTCAAAAGGAGTTTTCTTCCGCGTACAACCTCTCTGTGGAATAGTTTACCACCGGCGATTTTTCCGGACCGATACAACCTGGGGACCTTCAAGAAAAGAGCTTACTCCTTTCTAAAGGGCCGGCAACGCACCTGCAATTCCCCTCGTATTTCGGTTGATCATAGGCGGTGGTAGTCACTTAACATCAGGTGAGCCGCATGCTCGTCGGCCCCCTATAAAAAAATCCGCGTTAAACAAATCTGACAGTGAGACTCCACCCGCCAAGGTCGACACTTCTAACGGGCGATCGGGCGACATTGCCCTGTGTTAACTGTCGTACGTGGGAGGGGCAGACCGCATCCCTTCTACTGTGTTGTTAGGCACAACGCATATTATAGTTAGAGGTTCGCATGGAAATGAACTGGGCGTTCGTACGTTATTAGACATTGTATCGCAGAGTAACTTCATAACACAGCAGTTCTGTCAACGTTTAAGATTGTTAATAAAAAGGACGCGTTCGTGCTTCGTAGCGCGTAGTAAAGGGAATTGGAAGTTTTAATAAAACGTCCCAAGGTTCATTAAATTTAAAATTTTATTGTCGTTTATATCGCAGTATTAATTTTGGAGAAGTAGATAAGGTCACTAAGCGCCCTCCAACCGTTTCTGTCGACTCTTCCACAATGACTAATTTTGATAGTTTAACTTTCGCGTACGACACTTACTCCGTCCCTGGAGACAATGACGTGATCATCGGGACATCTGTCTTTTCTCACCTTTTGCTACACAATAAGGTCAGGGGTAACTAACTCCTCGTGTACCGCACCTTATGCATTAGAGACCGTTTGGGTTATGTTATTATTGTTTCCGCTATATGTATATATATATATATATATATATATATATATATATATATATATATAAGCGAAGAGGGGGGGGAGCGTTACAATATCAATGATATGTTGCAAACCCGTAACATTCATTGCTATGCAGATGACAGCACTGGTGATGCTCTTTACACCGGCCGTGCCAATATTTCTCGGGAAAACGTCTCCGAGTACCGGGACAAATTTATGTCTGAAGTCGAGTCTTTGCTGAACAGAGTCTTGGATTGGGGGCGACTAAATCAAGTCCAGTTTAACCCCCAAAAGATACAAGTTTCCGTGTTAACCGCTAAAAAGAACCCATTTGTCGTATGACCCCAGTTTCAAGGCCCTTGTTGCCTCAGCCAGTATTGGTATCCTTGACGTCGACATATCGAGTAACGTGCAGTTTTGTGGTCACTTGGAAAAGAAGGCCAAATTGGCCTCTAAAAAGCTTGGCGTGCTCAGCAAAGCGAGATAGTATTTCATGCCGGCACACTGCCTGCAACTTTACAAGGCTTGGCCGCACATGGAATACTGTTCCCATCTCTGGGCTGGGCTCCCCAGTACTAGCTCCTTCCACTTGACCGTATCCAGCGCAGAGCGGCTCAAGTCGTCGACTACCGAGTGCTTTCCGATCGGCTCGATTCACTGGCGCTGCGAAGAGATGTTGCATCTCTTTGCATTTTCTTTCGCATATCCATGGAAAGTGCTCTGAGGAATTGTTCGGATTAATCCCAGTCGCCAAATTTCGTGAAAGCACTACGTGGCAAACGTCGCGATACCATCCACACCATCTGGATGCTTGGCGGTCCACCACTGTAGGTTTCACAAAGAGTTTTCTTCTGCGTACGACCTCTCTGTGGAATAGTTTACCACCGGCGATTTTTCCGGACCGATACGACCCGGGGACCTTCAAGAAAAGAGCTTACTCCTTTCTAAAAGGCCGGCAATGCACCTGCAATTCACCTGGTGTTGCGGTTGATCATGGTAGTCACTTAACATCAGGTGAACCGCATGCTCGTTTGCCCCCTCTTCTATAAAAAAAAACCACTTAGTCAGACTTTGCTGGCCCGTTCAAGGTGAAGCTCACTCGCAGGCGTGGTGTAAGATCGGCGAAGGCGTATGTCTGTATTTTCGTATGTTTGACTATTCGCGCTGTGCATATAGAACTTGCCGGTTGTCCGAGCACGGCTAGCTTCGTGGGTGCATTTAAAAGGTTCCATTCTCGCCGTAGCCCTATAAGTAAAATGTACTCAGATAACGGTACGAACTACGTAGGGGTGAAACGTATTTTATCGGAATTACAAGAATTTCTAACTTCTAAATATTATAATTCGAAGTTTGCTCACATCTTAGCTGAGAACCGCATCAAACGGTCTCTGATCGTCCCCGCGTCGATTCATTTTGGGGAGAATTCGGAGATTAATATTAAGAGTCTAAAGAGTCATTTATACCGAGTAATTGGAGATCAAATTTTGTCTTTCGAAGAATTAAGCACCGCATAAACCGAGTGCGTCATGAATAGCCGCCCCCTTTGTAGTACGTTGTTAAGTGACTCCTCGGCGCCGCTGGCTCTAACTCCATCGAATTTTTTGAATCCAACGCCTTTGAAGTATTTACCCACTTTAGAGATAGACAAAGACAAATTTCATGTTCTTTCACGTCATAACTTTTAAGACCGGCTGGTTCAGTCATTTTGGAAGCGATGGAAAACGGAATATTTACATATGTTACAATCTCGTCGGAAATGGAACTAAACCATTAACGGTCGGAACGGTGGTTGTTCTCACCAAGGAAAATACGCCGCCTCTCCATTGGCCATTGGGGACCGTCGAAGAGGTTTTTCCAGGATCCGACGGGGTACTAGAGTAGCTCGTGTTAAGACCGTGGGCGGGTCATTTATATGTCCTGTTGTCTGTCTATGCCCTTTGCCCAATCAATAGTTTCGAGTTGCCTTTCTAGGCTAGATTAGTAGTTTAAATGAGTTTTAGTATTAGCTTTACTTAGTTGAAGGGAACAAAACAGGTACTCTCGCATTTTTGTTTAGTTGGTTATTGTTTGGCCAGTACCCTTCTGCGTACCATCCACGCATTCCATTCCACACGCACTGAAAGTGGGAGCAGCTAAACTATGTGGCGTGATTTTGTCGCCAATAAGAAACGCGCCCCGCCGGGATGGAAATGGTGGAGATAGCCGACCAATAAGAAGACGCTCACTGCCGTCGCTCGACCCTCCTGCCTCGCAGTTGAAGATACACGCTAGATGTGTTTGCATCTGTGACAGTCAGCCACAGAACAATCTAGAAGTAACCGCCTCGCATAGTGCAAGTTATAGTCACACACCACCGCTCGAGGCCACCGGCAGAAAGAACCCGACCCTGGTAAGTGTTCCTTAAATTATACTGAACTATTTTATTTTCTTTACTATGTTATCTTTCCCCTAACAGCTCAAGTTGAATCCCATCACATGACACTGGCTACATAATAGATTAGGTGATAGCGAGTGCATCGTCCAAGACTGCCACGTGCCATATCAGCCATCTTGTTTGGTTATAGGGAACCACGCATACAGACCACAAGAAAATCTATCTCCGTAAATAAATTTTGGCTCGACCTGGGAATCTAACCCGAGACCCTATCGCTCCACCACACCTTATAACTTACTTACATTGAGTTTTACACGCAATATTATGATATTAATAACCAATCATAATACGAGTGGCTAAATAAACTTGAAAGTATACGTTAAAATTTATATCAAGATAGGTTATCTTCTATGAAGTCAAATACTTTAATCTATGTTTATCGAGTCGTTTTAGAAAGAGATAAACACTTGAAGGTCTGATAGCATCTGTCAACGACAAAGTTAACAACTTATCAAACGTTACAGATAATATACGCGTAATCTCACGTCAAGTCTATAGCGAAGTCGTTTCCATCGGCTATTTCTAGTTTTATTGTAATATATTTGAAAAATGATCCCCTTTCTCTATTTACAGATTTAAAGTGCTCTTGTGTTATCACAAAATTATTGGAAAATTTAATTATTTATACAAGTTTTTGTAAAAATAAAAAGGCAAAACATGAAAATGGCGATTTCAAAAATTTTCCTCTTACTGTCCTTTCTGTCATTTACATGTAAAGGCAGCAACGTGCTGGTGGTCTTTCCAGTGACTAGCAGAAGCCACAGCAACTTAGGCGATTCCATCGTGAATATTCTTCTTGACGCGGGACACCAGGTAAAGACTCCATTTTACAAATTTAAATTAGATTTTCAAAAACACGTGGCTATATTTTGGTTGTAACGCGAATGGGTTTTACAGAATACTAGCATAAAATAGCAGCCTAATACTGATGTGTTTCGTATGGTGAGTGTAGAGAACCGTAGACCCTTCTATCTTGAAACGAGGCATTCCATCTTAGTTCTCAGAGGTGACAAATCATGTTCATTTTGATTCTTAATTGAGGATAAATGTAGATGTCTATGGGCCACAGCAACCACTTACCACCAGGTGGACTGTCTACTCGTTTGTTTTCCTGTTATATATAAAAAAAGCAAGAGTAATATAAAATAGCTGCTGTGTTTCGTATGATGAGTGTAGATAACCAAAACCTGTTACAGGGAAACAGGCATTACATCCTGGTCCTTAACTTAGTGTAGTAACTTCTGACCTTAAATTGAACTATGTGTCCATTTGTCACCCTTATTCTATTGAATATAACGATGTAATTTAGAAAAAAAATTAATAACAAAAAAAAAATACAAAATGGAATCAGATTGGTTCAACGGATCAGTAAGCTGTAATGACAATCGGCCGGCATTATAGCTCTAAGGACCGTCAACTGATGGGGAAGAACGATCGTTGAGTGGTGGTGGTAGTGGACCCATAAGGCGTGTGAGAGCGTGGTCCTTCCACAGTCGAGCCGAACCATTCGTACTACAACCATATTACTAATATAACTGCAGCATGGCTTTTGGCTCTTCCACGTATATTAAGCAGGTATTTTGTGAAAAGCGTTGTTTTCCGCTATTTGAGCTATATTTCGCGCATTTGAGCTATAACCATAATATTGCTGCACTATGGCTCTACCACATAAGGTTACAAACGTGCTTACAGTTACAAAAACAGATTTGTATAAAATATTGTTTAAAGTAAAACTAATTTTACGGATCTTATCGCGTTTAATTTTATTATTTTTTAACTCCGACGCTTCGGGCACTTTTCAGCATTCATGATCAGGGGAAGGGGGAGGGTTATTAAAGTGTTTGACATCCCGATGTCATAAGCAACAAAGGTATCTTTCAACTTCAAATTATCAATTTTTGGTCCGCTCTATGCAGAACGAGCGTTTGGATTCAATTTTATTAATTATGGGATACCAAGCAAATGGTAGCACCCAGACAACTTCTCTATTAAAATTAGAGTGTTTTTTGATTTAAATAGGAATCGATGTTCTAGTTTTTGGACATCAAAACTGACCACAGTTTCATTGCCAGCAAGATGTTAATCTCTTAAATCATTGACAAATTGGTATGAATCCGTTGTATGTGCTCTTGCGTGTTCTCTCCGTGGTCAGCTCAGTGAATATGCAGTATTTATTACTCAGGCAGTGTCTCACAACTGGCTATCTATTGTGGATGCAAAAGTTCTATAAGCAAGTAGATGGTGTGGCGATGGGCTCAACCATCGTCAAATATGAGATCGGGATGTCAAGCACCTCAGACCACCCGTGAACAGGGGTGCTGGAAAATTGGAACGTTGGAAATAAAAAAATTAAAATTAAATGCGATAAAATCCTAAAAATAAGTTTTATTCAATGTGTAGCATTCGCGTAAATATAAGAAATCATTATATTGTTTAAAGGTAAACTACGTGACACCCTTTCCGTTGAAGACGAATCACACAAGATTGATATGTACAGATATAAGTTCTGTGCTTAAAGAATCACCTGGTAAGAATCTAAAGACAATTCTCTAATAGCTATGTATCTTGATTTGTCTAATACTGATAACATAATGCAATTAGATTATTTTTTTTTATACCAAAACTGCTATTTCACTATATATATCCATATCTTTGTATATACATAATACTTATGTACTTGTGTTTGTCGCTGAACTCCTCTTAAACAGCTGGACTGATTTTGATACAATTTATTGTGTGTTTGAGTGGGTCCCTAGATAGACTGGATCCAATCGGTGGATCTGTTCGAGATCCAGAAATCACTCGTGCGAAGCCGGGGCGGATCGCTAGTAACATATAAACATTTAAACATTAAATAAAATTGAAGTCTGTCTGTCTTTCATAGTAAAATAACTGGCTTCTAATAAGCTCAGAGGGTTCAGTGCGTGCTATTAAGACATAAATAACCATTTTAGAATTTTTGTCTGTTTGTCTGTCTGTATGTCCGGGATAAGCTTCGGAATGGCTAAATCGATTATTATAAACTTTACGAACAGATTGAGAGCAATGTCTAAGAGAATTCAGTTTACATTTTATCCGGAAAACTGGAATATTTATTGAAAAGAAAAATTGACATCTTATATGGTCTTCGATTAACTCTACTCTTCTGACTCCGAGATGCTACCAAGAATTTCTTGCCAGAAAAATTAGTAAACTATTTTGGTCGACCCAGGATTCAAACTCGTCCTGGGAATAGACTTTCTTCTTTTTAATTTAACTAGTCCATCTGATAGCTTCTAATAGTTTTGGAGTAGTTTCTGTAGTCTATATCGGATACAACTTCAACACTCAAAATTTTAAATAGAATCTTGCGTTACTTTGCGGAATTTCATTATATTGCTAAGATCCGCCTAATAAAATAGAACTATGTGTTAACATAATTATTTTACTAATTACTTTAGTTCGCAATTGTAGCGCTTCGAAGTATTCGTTTGATCGCCAATTCAATACTGTACCGGCCTTATATAGGCCCTCTTCTACTGAAACATCTAGAATGTTCAAGTATATACCGGTACTGAATAGGTATAGAAAGTTCTGGCATAGAAATCCCTAGAAGGATCTTGACTCTCCTAGTTCTGCTACTCGATACTGGATGGCTACTGGTAACTAATATCACCATGTACTAGGCAAAATTATGGCGCGCAACACGGCCCCCTCTAAGTTATGCTCATCCAGAGCATTATCGGCCCCATATTAACGCGCCAGTCAGTACCAGTGTAGTAGCTACCACGGGAGCTGTAATTCCATCTCCAAGTTTGAGGTCGTTCCGCGTTTTATTCCAGTCAGCCATCACGTTCTCAACTCGATTTTTCACTTGGTCAATTTGGGTTTCAGGTTCCGACAGGTGGTTGTCATATTAACCAACCCTATCCTTAAACTCCCTTCTCTTTTCCGAAGGTAGCGTGAAGGTCCTTCATGAGAAGAATCATCTCTTCCTGACCTGAAACATCCAGAATGTTCGAGTACTTACTGGTCCCGAGTGATTAGGTGTAGAAAGTTCTGGTACGGAAATCTATATAAGAATCTTGACTCTCCTAGTTCTGCTACTCGATACTAGAGGGCGCTAGTGGTAAGTAATGTAGCCATTAACCAGGCATTAATTATGGCGTGCAACAATACCACTCGCCTTTCGGTTCAACACGAGGCATCTTCAGGTGAAGTAGACTCTGCCGTTAGCAATCAGCCACCGCAGAGTGTGTTGACACGGACAAATATATTATTTTACTCGTATTTTATTACACCTTAACTGAGTAAGCTAAGATCAGTGAAATAAAATTTAAATTTATAACATTATATATACATTTATAACATCTTTAACTTAATATAAAAACTTTATTTTTTTAAGATACCGCGCGCCCCAACTTAGAACACCTATCTCAACCAAAAGGAAGCCACTTTGTGCTGCCTATGGGAAAACTGTTCGCAAGTCAGGCGCTACGTCATCCTGCAGTTCAAACGCTATTGAACGACACCAGTAAAACCTTTGACGTTATCATCGCTGACTGGTTATACTCTGGGTTACACGCACCGTTAGTACTTACACTTTTAAAAAACGTTTTAGTGGAATTTTCATTCTCAGCCATCAGTATACATGCATTTCATCAGTATACGTGGTAGAGCCATGCTGCAACTATATTAATATAATTGTAACACAAATAGATCAGCAAGACCTGGCAGCGTTAAATAGAAGCTTAATGCTGCTGTGTGGTGGAAACGAGGCATTCCATTTTTGTCCTCAGGTGTGAACATGCATTTTGCATTTGCATTTGCATTGCATCTGCATTTTGATTCTTGATCGAGGATAAATTTAGATGCCCATAAACCACAGCATCCGCTCACCATCATCATCGTAGGCTATGAACAAAAGCAGTTATTGATATAATTATTCGATCATCAATAGGAAAATAAAAAAAATATCATTCACCCTTTTCAGATCAAATTTATCACGTTCATGATTTTTTCAAAAAATCATAAACGTGATAAATTTGATCTGAAAAGGGTGAATGAATATATATATATATATATATATATATATATATATATATATATATATATATATATAATTTCACCTTTTATCATCTTGTTTTTTGATCTTTGTTGCGCCGTCTCTGTTAAGCCTAACGTTTGACCGGGTGAGTGTAGAGAACCGGAGACCCTTTAATTGAAAACTATGCATTTTACCTTACTTCTAAGGGCTTAAAACGCATCGGCACTTTGATCATTAATCGAGGATAGATGGATGAATGGAAGATGGATAGCTAGGGCATCCACTCACCATCAGGTGGACTGTGTGTTCGTTTGTTACAAAATATCTATAATAAAAATGAATTACTAAAATGCCAGGTTGGCGGCAGTGTACGGATGTCCTCTGATCTGGTACTCCTCCAGTGATATAAACTGGCAGTCACTGCGCATGGTGCATGAAGCCAGCAGCCCAGCATACAGTGTCGACGCACAAACGCGGAGGGTACCTACTTTACCGTTCACAATCGGTGAGAAGGCTCACCAACTGATGCTGCAAGTTTATCTTAGCGCTTGGATATAGTGAGTATAATGATTTATTCTAATCACGCTTACATTATACAAATTGTCTGGCTCGTTGATCTAATGGTCGTAAACGCGACTGCAGATCATGTGGTCCAGGGGTCGAATCCCGAGTGGGGCCAGAAAAAATTCAGCCCGGAGTCAGAAATTTGGCGCTGTTTCATCTCCCTGCGTCAGTAAGTACGTAAAGCTGTTGCTCCTCCACCTGATCTCTTTTCCCTGTCGTGTTGGATTACCGTGCCATAGGACTTTAAGATTGAGGGCACTATAATCCTTTCCTGCACATATGGCTAGTCTCCAGTGAGATTGGGTGCCGTGACAGAAATTCGGTGCGGGGGACATTATTATGCATTAAATAAAAAGTATAGTATGGTAAGCATCTGGCTTAAATGTTTAAAAATCTGTCAACGTTTAACTATTTGTGGTCTAAACTTCCAATATTATTGTTTTAAATAGTTGTTTGTACAGATGACTTGTTCTTGCCAGTGTAAAAAAATATCTTACACGTTTCGTAGAACAAGTGGTAAAATTAAAAATTACGTCCAACCGACTTCAATATAAATAAAATGAGAACATCATTGATGTATTCAAAGTCAATTAAATACGCGTCATCAGGGATAACTCAAAAAGTACTGGTCATATCTAAATCACATTTATGTGAAACCACACCAGAAGCACCAGCTTTCAAAAAGTCTCATCCAAATCGGTTCACCTAAAAATAAAAAAATTAAATCCTACTTTTTGAATTCGTATGAAAATTATACCACACTTATAGTAAACACCGAGTATACGTTACATACTCGTAACATAAATTGTCACAATTATTACTCATAGGGTCAGGCAGACTCAGACACACACACACAACACATATATATATATATATATATATATATATATATATATATATATATATATATATACTACCCTAATAAAAGAATTCATCTACCCACTATTTCTCAATATACCGTTACAGAGTATTAAAGTTCACTGCTGAACATAGGCTACTTCCATAGATTGCCTCAGGTGCTCTAGTTGGTAGGACTACTTTCCTGTCTAGAGGGCTACCTGTGTAGGCATCATCCACTTAACTATTTATGCCAAACAACATAGCTTGCACTGCTGCGTTCCAATCTCAAGGTTAAAGAGAGCGAGTATAATTACAGGCTGTAAGGCATTCCATCTTCCAAACAATAAGTAAAGTTCTTTGTTTGATGTTGGCTGCCACCTGCAGTGCACGTTCGTGGACTGCAATAGCTAATTACATACAGGTATACTGTATGGTCGTTTATCACTACATATTTTACAATAAAAAGGTAAGAAACGGGTCAGATATATCCCAGTTAAATTCACAATTTTTATTTTGCCATACCTACTTTGAAGGTTGGAGAAGCGATCACATACAATGTTCGAAAACATAATACGTTTTTAATTACTTTTTCGATCCCCTAAATCGAAATTGGAGTGTAGGGCAAATAAGATGAAAAGCGACTGCAATAGCTACCAACTGCATCCAAATACAATCTGGGCATCCTCAAGGCAAGAGTAAACCGGCTTTTGTTACGCTAAGCCAGTGTAATTTGCCATCTAGGGCTACATCACCTCTTACCACCGGGTCGGGTTGTAGTCAAGCACTGGCTTATAAAAACTGATGATGAAATACCCATCCAAACATGTCAAACATGGGAGGCAGAATATAAATAAAATTGAAGTGTTTAATGGATGTGAATTTAATAAAGCAAATAGAGAGATAGAAGAGCTCCGGCTTGCATTCTGAACGTTAGGTATATTCCACACTGTGGTCGTGTTTGACAGAAAATTCTTAGGGCAATGCATGGTGGTGGATTTTCAACAATCAAGATTGCGTTGGCAGTACATAGTGTTGTGCCGCAGTAGTGTATGAAGATGAAATTTGGCAGTTAGAACAAATCCAAATAATTACTCGGAACACTTCTCTTAGCAAAAACGAGTAAAGTAGCGTGGAACAACTCATGTGTGAATCTCATGCATCTCTGTATAGCGATTAGACAATCATCACTATAGTTATAGTCATCGCGCGGATACTCAGCAATCTAACACCTAGTTTTACATTTGAAAGGCAGTGATTACGCCAAAACACATTTGATTAACCGTATTAGCTGGCAATATTTTTCCTCTTCACTTCCGATTCTTTCCTGCATGGGCAAGCTCGATGAGAGACTGGACATGGTGGCGTCCTGACCAGAAGTTAAAGGGGCCGGAAGCACGCCGCCGTCCGACTAGAGCTATCATCTTACACTCAGTCACACCAGTTGTAGCTCGATTTTAGATGTGATAGCACCCCTGTGGTAGTCGAGTCACAGAACAATATCGTAGTGACCGCTTGCACGGTTCAATTTGTTGCGCACTAGTGCAAACAATTTGTCGTGGCGTTTAATAGTTAACCCCAGTACATTTATCTTCGCGCATCGCTCACTGCAGCGGCAACGTGGTGCCACCAACCTCGAGGCCTGGAAAGAAGCCACACCTAAGTAAGTGTCCGTTCCTACTTGAGTTGCTTTTATTTATTATTCCTTTGTACCACAGTAGCTCATACTCCTGTCCAGATAAGTATAGTAAATTAGTTTATAGGTGTATTGTCCAAAACCCGCCACGTGCCACATCTGCCATTTTGTTTGTATTATAGCCAATCACGCTAAATACAGCCCACTTTCGTTATTCTCAATAAATTACCCAATAGTTTGAGGCCATTGTTCCCGGGAATCGAACCCGAGACCCCTCTAGCCCGATCATTTTGTGGTTCCATCACTCCGGATTCGAACGACAACCTAGTTACCCGCAACATTTAGTAACCATCCGTTTTCGGATTCGAACCCAGGTACTCCATCACTCCACCAGGCAGAAATGACCTCATTTCAAAAAAGCGTCATACTAGAGCAAGTATTTATACGTGTTTGAGCGCTGCATCTATATTATGGTTGTAGCACGAAAAATCGGCTCGGCCGGGGTAAGATGGGATATTTCAACACGGACTTACTGAAAAATTCAATCCGGTCTCAAAATCTTCGTAAAATCATTGAGTCTGTCAATCTAAACATTCTTCCTTTAAAGGCAACTCGTCATAATATCGACACTGATGACTCTCTGATTGATCTCATTATAGCTGACACCTCTAAAAGGGTGCTATCATATGGGCAGCTTGATGCGCCGGGATTTTCCCACCATGACCTTATTTATGTATCATACAACCTTAAACCTCCTAAATATCGACCTACTGTACTGTTCCTTCGTAATTTTAGAAGATATAATATGGATAAACTTATTAAAGACGCATCGCTTATAGATTTTACGCCATTAGCAACTGCATCCACAGTAGATGATGAAGTAACTATTTTTAATGACATAATTCAAGTTTTTTATTATAACCATGCTTCTGCACGTAAAGTGAAACTACGACGTCCACCAGCTCCCTGGATGGCTGAAGAGTTAATAAAGGCAATGACCAGGCGAAATTGAGCCTTTGCCCGTTTCAGTAGGAGCAGATCTGAGGAACACTGGTTGTCTTTTAAGAAGGCCAGAAATAAATGCAATCAGATGGTACGTTCTGCAAAAAGCCGATTTATCTGTAATAATATAAGTAATTCTTCGCCAGCTGATGTCAGAAAATTTCTTAGTTCTCTAGGTGTGAGTAAAACACCTTCTCTGGATTGTGGTTTATCTCTTTCTCACGACGCTTTAAATCTTCATTTTGCTTCTGCTTCTGCGTTGGACCTTTCAATCCGATCTCAAATAGTCACTTACATAGCTTCAATTCCGTCTCCTCACATACCAGTCTTTCTTTTTAACCCTGTTGATAAGGATGAAATTAGAAAGACTCTTCTGGTAATCAAATACAGGGCTGTCGGTTGCGATTAGTAGAGCCATAATTATTAATATTCTAGGACACATTCTCTCTTCAGTCACACACATTGTTAATTTTTCGCTTGACTCGGGTCAGTTTCAGAGTCAGTAGAAAAAGGCTTTTGTAAGACCCCTTCCTAAAGTATCAAATCCTACAATTCCCAATCACTTCCGCCCCATATCAGTTTTACCTTTCCTATCTAAAGTTTTGGAAGCCTGTGTTCATAAGCGAATTTCCATTTCGTCCTGGTCACAGCACTACAACTGCCATAAAATAACTAAAGATATTAGAGAAGGAATGGAAAACAAGAAAGTTACAGTTGTGGTGCTCGTTGACTTTTCTAACGCTTTTAACACAGTTGACCATGATATCCTTCTTGCTATACTTTCTTATTATATGTTTGCACCGTCAGTCCTGGAGTGGTTCTCATCTTATCTTTGCAGACGTCAACAGTCTGTTCACGTGGAGCAAATGACTTCACAGTGGGTTGACCTAAGTTCTGGCGTACCGCGAAGCGGTATACTTTCTCCATTAATCTTCTTTATTTTTATTAATTCTATCACATCCAATATTGATTGTTCGTACCTTTGTGACATCAATTATGCGATTAACAAATTAATTTCAACCTCAAGTCAGTCTGTAATTGGTCCATGCGCTTTGGAGTGTCTGCCAACCCTACGAAATGTCAAGCGGTGAATATGGGTAGCTCAAGAATGCTTGCAAAAATTGATGCCGCTAGCCCACCTTCCGTCTATTGTAATAATCGCTTGATACCGTTCTCTTTCTCATTTAAAAATCTTGGTCTCTATATTGATAGTGCTCTGTCCTGGGGGGTTCATACTCGTATCTCTGAAAACTGTCGTAGTCTCTGGTTCTTTACGTTCTCTTTATCGTTTGAAAAATTTTCTCCCCTTAAGACTAAAATTATGCTTGTATAGTTACTTATAATACCGATTAATCAATGCATACCAGAGCATACTCATTCAGACGTATGTTACCCGGATTTAAGCCAATATCTTCTTAATAAGCTAAAATGCCAATTTTGTTGGTAAATCCTTTACCATTCAGGCTGCACTACTCTGGAACTCCTTGCCCGAGGACGTTAGAAAAATATCTAATAAGA